GAAGTTATTGAAAGAACTGCCGTGGTTGGAATAGAAACCAGAAGGAAGGGGATTAGGGTGTGGGGGCTGGTTTAGGGAGGATAGCGGGAGGGGTTAGGATGGACAGGTGTGAACAGAACTGCCGTGGATTGTTGGTTCTTGAGTGGAACAGAAGGCACGAGAAAGGGGAGTTGGGCGTGGGGGTGGTTTGGGGGCAAAAGGGGGAGGAGGGGGCAAGGGGTAAAAAGGGGGTGGTTTGGGGTGGAAGTTGTGAAAGGGGTCTTGAAACTGCTTTGTTTGTTGCTATGCAATCTGTGTTTAGCTCATTGCTTTGCTTTGCTTTGATGTGCATTCATTGTCACCGTATAACTTCAATCTCTGCTCTCCCAGAAACAAGCGCACATAACACATGAAAAGAAAGCTCGAAGAAAAGCCCAGTCGCGCTGTTGCAGCTTAAATGACTATTCTTTGCTCTTTCTTTCTTTCTTTTCCGGTTGCACTCTGGTAATGATGACTGTGCAGTGAGATTCAGTTGGACATATGACACAGGAAGAGCAAGCGAGCATGTGCAAAGAGCAGGGCAGTGGGCAAAAGAGAAAGAGAGAGAGAGAGAGAGAGAGAGAGAGAGAGAGAGAGAGAGAGAGAGAGAGAGAGAGAGAGAGAGAGATTGGAAGTTGTGCATGTGCAGAGATTCGTTACAGGGAATTGAGAGAGAGTAGCTGATGGGTAATACACCTGGCAGGGACGGGAGGGGGCACAGAGGAGAGAGGACAGGGGCAAGGGAGGGGACGAGGCGTGGAGGGGGTGGTGGAGGAGCCAGAGCAGCGGACGGGAGAGGGGGGGGGCCATCCCATTCGAATTCGTCAGAGTCTATGGGGAGCTCCCCACCTGGCAGCCCTGGGGGTACTGGAGCCATGTCTCCTCTCCTTTTCACCCCGCAGATCCCCATGACACCCATTCCCAAGGCTGATGAGGTGGTCCTCCCTCCTTACAGCTACCCGGCGGCGAATGATGCTCATCGTCACCAACTGGACGATGCCAACACCATTCTCGCCCTTATTATCTGGACCCATGGTGGAAACAATGTCTCCGTGGAGGGTTCCTGGGACAACTGGCACAAGCGCGAGCCTCTTTCGAGGTCTGGTAAAGACTTCGCCCTTATCAAAAGGCTGCCCTCTGGAATCTATCAGTATAAGTTCATTGTCGATGAGCAGTGGCGGTTTGCGCCCGATCTGCCATCGATTCATGATGAGATGGGCAATGTTAATAATGTGCTGGAGGTCCAGGAAACCGTTTCGGAGAACTTTGAGAATTTGGCAGGGTTTGAACCTCCTCGCTCTCCAGACTCTAGCTATAATAACGCGTTCTTTGCCCCCGAGGATTACACAAAAGAGCCGCCTGCTATCCCTCCTCACCTCCACTTGACCCCCTTAAACGTGACGGGTGTTTCCGATAACCAAAGTCTTCCGCGCCCGCAGCATGTCATCCTAAACCATGTCTATGTCGAGAAAGGAAAGACAGCACGATCTGTCCTTGCCCTCGGGGCAACACAGCGGTACCGGTCCAAGTATGTCACGGTGGTGCTATATAAGCCCTTGCACAAGTAGGTTCTTTCGTTTAGAAGGGAATGGTGTAGGATAGGAGGCATGCGAGAGGATGGGTAGGAGAGGAGGGAACACAAAGTGAAAAGGTTTGTTGTTTTGAAATCTTGTCAAATGGAGGATGGGAGATAGGTGTGCCAATCCTCGCCGAGGTTTATCTGAAGGGAGGAGAGCACAGTCTGCGCTCTTTGGTACCGCGCGGCGAGAGCGGGGGGAGTATGCCATCAGTATGCTGTGCCCTGTACTGGGAGAAGAGGTTTGGGTGTGTCAGCTGTTGGGGAGGTAGTTTGTGCCCACTGGCACAGAGAGGGGCAGGGAGAGTTTGATTGTGTTTGGTTGTTTCGGTGAAAGAATGGGAGGAGTGTATATGTAAGTAAGCAGGGCATAGTGTGGTATCTTTGCCGCAAGCAGTTGCAAGGAGAAGTAGGTACTTGTGGGAGCTGGGTGGGAGAACAACAGGGGTTGTTGCCCTGTTAGTGTGGGTGAGATTGCCCTGTTAGTGTGGGTGAGAGTATGGTAAGAGACAGGGCCTAGACTGTGGCCTATACGAAGCTTGATTGATCGGTGTGAATACGGTGGTTGTTGGAGCATAGTCTTTGTGTAATGGGGGTAATAAAAGTGGTTTGCCTTGCCTTGATGTCAGGTGTTCCCGCCAACACACAACCTTGGGGATGTGTTTGACTCATGCGGCGAGAGAATTTGCAACAGCTCTCAGCATGGGCTTGCTGTCTGCTGGGTTGTCCTATTGGATGAGGTATTTCCATGCAGGCGTATTTGTAGGATGGACAGCAAGATGCTGTTCCGGAGTAGCAATTGTTCGTGAATACTGGTGAGACACGAGGGTGGCCTCCTGGGTGCTCATTGCACAGGCTAAGTTTGCATGAGCCATAAGGTATGCAGGCCTTGGGAAAACATGCATTGACAATGTGCTAGAGAAGGAAGCAGAGAATGCCCACGGACTGTCAGGTCAGGATGGCTTCCCTGGCATTTGGACGCAGTAGTGCAATCTGGGCAGCACTGAGTGGAATAGATGGCTATCCATGGGAGAAGTGATTGTCTCCTCTCTCTCTCTCTCTCTCTCTCTCTTTCTCTTTTGAGACTTTCATCTTTCTAGTGACCTTGTGTTGCTGAACCACTGCTGTTGGATGAGGATTTTCATTCCTCACACAAACTGAATGGAGGACCAAGAACCAGAAACCTATAGACCTGTAGGTCTGTGGTGTCTTGGTAAGTTATAGTAGTATAAAAAGTGAGTTATGGGATGCATGGCTCAAGACGCGAACTGTGTCATCTAGGAGAGTCTTTGTTATGGTTGGGAGGGGAAGAGAACTGCACAGTGACTTAGGGTATATGTGGTGCGGAGTCAAACTGTTTCAGGGAGCAGAGCATAGCTTGATTTGGTGCGGTTGTGTCCACTCCTGTCGAGGAGATAAGGGAGGGTGTTCTGCTGCAGTGCACGGTCAGCGCTTACCTCGACTTGGTGGGGGAGAGAGGAAAGAGAGGGAAGGAGGGAGGGGGAGGCTGTGCTATGTGCAGCTGCGCTCTTAACTCCTGTCTTGGTTTCCCTATGGTGTATGGCACAGCACGCCTCAGCCTTTCTAGGTTGGCATAGAGGAGGCGAGAAGAGAAGAGGGAGACATGGGCATTGTTCTTTAGAGTGATCTGGAGTGAGAAACGGTCTTGTTGTGCCTTCAAAATGTTCGATCGGAGCGAGTCCCATGGACATGGCGCTTTAGTCTGATCGCTTGGAATTGGCTCACCTATTCTGGCTGTTCCGTTTCGTGGAAAGGGTTCAAAGAGGAATGCCAGCCATGCATCTCATGGGGTGTGGTCTTCTTGGGCCGGACTGAGAGCTGAACCATGACCCATGAAGACCATTGTGCAGCCGTGGAAAGGGGTCCTGGTTTGTTTCAGTGGTCAGCATGACTCTGATTTCTTGGTCGGCAGGCGCACTGAAACAGAGTCATGCTGTTCCTGGTCAGCATGTTCCTGGTCCATTTCTTGGTCGGCAGGCGCAGATTGAAGAGTAGGATGCATCTGCCATGGTAGTAGGGGGTTGTATAGGTTCAGCTCTCAGTCTGGCCCCGCTAAAAAAAGAAACAGGTCAAGAGTCGTTTGTGTTTTGTTGGAAGAGAAGTGTGGTGAGATGGGGGCAGCTTCGTGCGGATGTTTGGCTGGACCGAGACTGAAGTGGCCGCTTGGTTATTTAGGGTGCTTGCCCTTTTGCTAGAATGGTCGACTTACTTGTCGGATCTGGGCAACGTGCGTTGTGGCTAACCCTTGAATCAAGTGGGTTTGGTTGGCATGAAAGCCAGAGAGGTGACCTGTCTCAGCTCTTGACTTTGACTGAAATTGCTGCCGCCTTTTTCAAAGCCGGCCCAGACCATGTGCGCTCCTTTGGGGTTTGTCATTCGGCTACTGCTGTCTGCCATGGGTTCTGCGCTGCTATGCAGGGGTTGCAAAATCTGTACTTCATTTTTGGACTCTGGGAGTGCCTTGGCTCTTTTCCCATGGCCTTGGTTTCTTCGGATATCGACCAGCGGACGGGTCTATGGTTATTTTAACTGGGTTCTGGCAGTCGATTGAAGAAAGAGCAGCAGTGGAAGGTGGCACAAACGTCCTCTCGCCTTTGCAGCTGTTGAGGGGTTCACAGATAACAATGCTTTTTCTCTGCCAAGCTTTGTTTTGGGGGTCTGTTTCCTGATATTTCCCCAGTATTTCTGTTTTATACTGATCGATTTTAAGAGTATTCTCATTAAGTGGATTCTGAAGAATGCTCTGCTGCTGCGTTTCCGGTACCTCTCTTTCTCGTTGTGTATTTGTAGAAGAGAAAGGAAGGTACAAGGCAAGCAAGCATGCCTCTGTGAGATGATGGAAGAGGGAGGGATATGAGGGATGGAAGTGGTGAAAGGGAAAGATATGCGCCTGTGTGTGTG